TCTCGGATTTGGGATCAAACTTCTTCCTTTTCGCTTTCGGTACCAGAGTCATCACGCTCGAGCAAAAAATCTTGAGGTGCTTCAAATTCGGCTTCTTTCCGGTCCACGCCTCTTCCGGCGTTTTCTCTTCCAGGGAACGAGTAGGACATCGATTCACCACGTGAGCCGCGGTCGAAATAGCTTCTGCCCAAAACTCTTTTCCCAGCTTCGCATCGTTGAGCATGCACCGCGCCTTTTCAACCAGCGTGCGGTTCATGCGCTCTGCCGCCCCGTTCTGCTCAGGCGTATACGGGCACGTGGTTTGATGTCGAATCCCATCGGACTCCAACACCTTCCGGAATTCTGCATTCACGTACTCCTATCCGTTGTCTGAACGCAAGATTTTTAGCTTCTTGCCCGTCTGTCTTTCCGCTTTGGCCTTGAACGACTTGAACGCTTCGAGCGCTTGATTTTTCTGCTTCAAGAAGTATACCACCACCCGCTTGCTTGCATCGTCCAGGAACGTCATGAAATAACGGCTTCCACCCAACGACGAAATCTCCACTGGTCCGCAGAGGTCGGAGTGTACCAACTCCAACAGTTCTTCAGCTCTTGACTCGCTGCTTGGGAATGAACGCCTCGTATGCTTGCCCTCCAGACAGGCAACACATCCTTCTAACGACCCATCTTGGAAATCTATTTCGTTGGCGATTCGCTTGAGCTTCTTCAAACCACCTTCGTGAAGATGCCCCAGACGTCGATGCCAGAGCTCCATGCCGCTTGCCAAAAACAACTTCTCTGGCCAATTGACTCTGTAGAGGCCACCTTCCTCGACGCCGGTGACAACCAGATCACCGTCTTCGTCCCGAACTTCGCATCTGTCTTTGAGTTTTGCCCTTTTTGCAGATCGTACTTACGGATAACAAGTTGGTGGCTAGGTCGGGAATCTTCAGAACACCGCTGACATCGATTCGACCATCGTTGCTGTCCAACACGACTGAACCCTTCGCTACGACCTTCATAGTGGCATTGTTCGCCGTTCCGACGTTGTGGTCCATCTTGACTTCATCGAGAAATTTCTGATCCGGCCGTGCCATGTGGCAAGTGGCACCCGAATCGAAATACCATTCACTGGTGCTGACGTCTCCCATGGCAAAAATGGAACAGAGACCCTTGTGTTTGCTCGCCTTTGCTTGCTGCTGCTTTTCCGGACACTTGGCAGCAAAATGACCCGGCTTCTTGCAGGTGTAACATAACTTTTCGCCTTTGCTACCGTCCTTGGATTTGCTTGGCTTCTTCCGGTTCGCTTTACTGTACAAGGCACCTTCCACGCCGCTGCTGACCGGACCACGATCCAGCTTAACGTCCTGTAGAATTTTGGATTTCACTGCATCCGCTGTCACAGCCGCACCAGAGGCTTCGAGTCCCATTATCATGGGCTCGTACTGATCAGGAAGACCCATCAGCAACATCGCCGCGAGCCAGGAATCGTCCACCTTAAAGCCCACGGATGTAAGCTTGTGGCTTGTGCTCATTAATTCGTCCACGTACGCCTCAACGCTAGCACAGTTGATCAGCCGTACCGACGTAAATTTTCTGAGCAGTCCAATCTTCCTGGTTAGTCCACTGTCCTGGAATGCAGATTGCAGCTTCGTCCAGGCTTCCTTTGCTGTAACCGCATCCTGCACCAGACTGTAATTGTAGCTCTCGAGGCTTAAGCAAATCGTAGCCAGAGCCTGCAACTTCAAATCCTCAGGAACACCTTCTCCGTCTCCGTCGATGGCAGACCAGCTTCCTTCACGGATTAGGATCATCCGCATCGCAAATGCCCACGTCGTGTAGTTCTCCCGGCCTCTTAGCTTGTCAATGGCTGGCAGTGCCACGGAACTTCTGGTGACTCGAACGCTTCCAGCTTCAGTCCTGCCGTTTCCGTTGGCGCCTCCATCTCCTTGACCTTGCTGTCCGGATCCTAAACTTCCGCCTGTGGACATACTTCTTCTGCTCTTGAAATTTTAGAGTCTTCCGGTTAGGTATCCTGGGCCCATAACCAATTGTAGAGAGTAATTGAAACACGTCTTTATCGGTTGACGTTGAACAGTGGAATAAAAATTTTATTCAGAAACTTAGCAACTAATAACAAGTGCATATAGCGACGCGAATTACTGGGTTGCTACGATCACAATAATTAGCATCAGAAAGATTGCGGAAACCTTTAAGAAGTTCTAGGAATTTAATAAAAATTCCAAGAATTTAAAGAAAGTTCCGAAAACATCAGGGTAATTCCAAATATTGCAGGAAAACATCGAGAACATCACATGGAGATCAAAGAGCTTCTGGCAATTCCATTTAGAAAAATTGCACGAACTTTTAAATAAATTACTGAATTTACGAAAACTTCAGTATAGATTAAAGCGAGGATTAAAGATCTTTAGGGAAGTGACGTAGCGTGGAGCAGTTCTGAGATTTTAGGGAATTTCCATGAATATCAGGAAAATTGTGGCAACTTCAGGGATATGGTTCTTAACAATCCATTATTTTTAAGGTCCACTTCAAAAAAAACATAATAGGTACATAAGGTTAAAACTTTATCACAAAAACGTTCATGTAAAGTTCCATAACCATTTCCGTTAAAGTTTAGCAGGGATTATAAACAATTTTTAACCATTATTGATAAGGTCAAGTAATGGTTCGCATTTATGCGGGTTCACATTTCACTAAACCAATTAACCACTTCATTCGAGCAGTTAAAATGACGTCTACTACCTCTCGAACTTTGAAATAAAATATTATTTTGAGATTTTTTCTTCTAGAACCACGAGAAGAGTAGCCAACATTTGTGCGTTTCTTAAAAAAATAGAAATTAGTTGGTCAAGTTTTGTGAAATCGCTGGTAGAAAGTCACGCCAAAACTGCTTGACAAAGTAGTCAATTGATGAATTTACGCAAAGGTAAAACTGGCCATGCGACACCTAGTTTTCAGATTTGCAATTACAAAACTGATGATGTATTAAAAAATATTCCATACGATTTGACAGGTAGCAAAACGTCATTATCATTTTCACATCATTTGTATATCTGCTGGTCGACCGTAACGTACACGGATAGAAATCCCCTTATACCTTTTGGCAAATTTCTATCCAGCTTTCCATGCTTGGTAATGGCGGCCTGTTTGTATGAATAAATGTATCCTTCACTGTGCTTTTTGACACTATCTGCACAGAAACAAAATCCATTGGCAAAAATACTATATTGATGGTTTAAATTAAATACTCCCACCAATAGATTTGTGCAGAAACGAAATTCATTTAATTTTACTATTTTTTCTATCAAAACTACTATGCCGTTTGAGTAAGCATAGTAGTTTTGACAGAATGGTAGTAAATTTTATTATATTTATAGTCAACTATACCGAAATCATGGTAGATTTAACGGTTTTAAACGTAGTTATACTGAAAATAAGTGTTTTCTGCAAAATAGTATTCCTAACTATTATCTTTGTTTCAGTGTGGATCATTACCGAGCATGGAAAGCTGGATAAGCAGACACCTTTCAAAAAGTTAATGAAGATTATGTGTCAAATGATATATATAAATAGTCACACATACCGTTTATGCATTCTTGTAGGACCTATGTGGTTTGTCTTATGGAATGTATAAAGCTGTGTTTTGGCAAAAATGTATTAGTGAAACACATGAATAAAATATGTAATTAAATTTCGTTTCGTGTAAATTCATCAATAATGCCAGCAAGCAAAGTGGTCCAATTCCTTTGGGGAAACGAGTAGTTCCTGTTTAGCGTGCAAATCTGCAGGTAAACAAAAAACAAAGAAGAATCTTGTCCTTGTCATCGCAGTTAGTGTTTGTTACCCGGAAAATGGACGCTACAAAACATGGATAGTAAGTTCCGTCCGTAAGTAAAATACCATCGACGAAATCTCACCGCCCTTATTTTTGTTCCAGTGCCATCTCCGCCAGTGGTACCTTCTGTCGACTGTGCCTTAAAACCGACGCGATCGAAATCGTCGTCCAATCGCCGGAGGAAGCCAACGAATCGCTGCTCAACATCATCAGCGAATGCCTCGGGATATGGCTCACCGTGACGGAAGACTTCCCGCTGGCCATCTGCCACTCGTGTTCGATGTCGATGGAAGCGATCCGCCAGTTCCGGTACAACTGCCAGCAGTGTGATTTCTACCTCCGCAGTCAACGCTCGGCTGCACCTCCACCAGCGCCGACACCGGTGCTGGTGGTTGATAGTGATTTAGATTCTTCGACGGAACATAAACCACTGATATCGCATTCAGGGATGGAACCGGCGGCGATAGCAGCGTCACAGGGTGTGGTCGCAGTGCAGGAAGTCCGGTACGAAGAATCGACAGTTAGTGTGAGCGATAATAACGGAGTGGCCGGATCGATGGAGGGGCAGATGTGTGAGCAAATGGTGGTAATGGAGCAGCATCCGGTGGAAATGAATATCCCATTGAAGAAGTTTGACTGTCCGGAGTGCGGTAAACAGCTGTACAGTTCGCGGATGCTGGCACAACACGTAGTGCGGGAGCATCGGCTGTGTCATGGGTGCGACCAGTGTGGAATGTCCTACAACAGCAAGCAGAAGCTGGATTCACACAAGGAAAGCTGCTCTGGGCGGCCATCCAAATTCATATGCACTCAGTGTCCCAGTGCGAAGGTGTTTGCCACGGCCATAAGTCTTTCCATGCATCTGTATTATGCCCACGACAGTATTAAATCCGTTGTCTATCGGTGCGAGGCGTGTAAGAAGAATTTCAAGAACCGGACGGGTCTCAAGTATCACTACAATGCACGCCACGGATGCACGATGGTGGAATGTGAGATCTGCCGGAGGCCGTTTCCCACGGAGGAAAGCTTGTACTACCATAAACAGGCAGATCACTGAGGGGGGGTTTCAAACTAGGCACTTAGGGTAGCGATTTGTACAAAATATGTATTTCGACTGAATATTCAATATAATAAAGACAAAATGTTAGCAGCTGTATTGAAGTTCTTTTTGTTATTACTTTTCCGCAGCTGGCTTCTGTTTGGAGAAACGTAGATCGTCACTGGCGACGTCGTTCATGGCGTTGGCGTGGACTTTCTCGCGGGCAAACTTGGGAGGAATTCCAATGGTACAGTTGACGAATTCGGGATATCGCTTTGAGTCATTCTTGCTGGCCAGGTGCAGTGGAACTTCTGGCACTGGTGCAGCCGCAACTCCTCCAGGAATGCTGTTCAATGCAGTGAGCCTGTAATCAAAGTTGAAATCAAATTTATCCAGAGTTAGGTATTTCAAATAGTACATGTTTGCTGCAGACTTACATCTTGTTATTTCGCTCGAAAGGTGTACACTGATGAGAAAAGCGAAGGTCTTCAATTATAATGGTCGTACAAAACAACATCGAACAAAGGATTCTACTATTTAATCAAAATGGAACAAGGCAGCTGATCAAACAGCGCTGAAGGAACCCTATTTGAGAATTTATCAATTCTGCAAAGTTTCCTAAGACGCATTACTCAAAGGGTTGTTGAGTCATGTTTATTTTCTTAATATTGTTTGGTAAAGCTTCTTAAATAAAGAAATGCTTAAACGTTTACGACGAAGTCCCATTTTGTAAATTACTTCCTCCGTCTACATCGTCATGGGTTTTTCTGTGACGCTGAAATGTGTGCCACTGGCGAAACTGAGCATTACACCTATTACAACAGTAGTGAGTCGGATTTTCCGACCCAATGTACATGTTCATCTGTTTGCGAATATCCTTCGGAGAAATGGGGTTTAATTCTCCTGGCCGCTTCTGTGGGTGTCTCAGCCGTGTTGCGGCCACGGCTGCAGCCATAGCATCGGCGTCGTGTTTTGAGGAATGCTTCAAATTCATGTGCTTCTCGAGGTTTGACTCCTTGACAAATGCCAGCTTACAAACTTGACATTCAATTTTTCGGGGAGTTTTCTTGGACTTGGTCGGTTTTTCATTCCATTGGGTCGTGATGCTATTGCTGCCCTCCGAGTGAACGTTCAGCAGCTCGACTTTGATATCACCGACCATGATTGTATTACCGCTGCTCAAGAAGTCAGCATTAACACTAGGTTTCCTCCTGAGCCACGGAAGAAGGTAAAACTTCCTCGATAAGCAATTCCGGTTCCGGAGAGGCGCATTCCTGTTTGCATTCAACCACATCGGAATCAAAGGATGGTGTCTCTCCCACCCGACTGTTGCTTAAAATTGCATCGCAAACCTGGGCCCGTTCCCGAAGGGCTTCAAATGTTTCGAGCGCAGCCGAGCACAGTCGACATACGGTACAGGGGAAATCCACTTCCGGAGTAAGCGCTACACCGAGACAGATCTGAATTTGGGCCACCATGGGATTATCGCTGGATTGCAGGAGCCATCGCAGTTGGTGCTGGGAGAAGCACAACCGGCAATACCCGGTCGGATCTACGCTGGGGCTGAATGAATACGATGTCGTGGGATTAAATTAGATTAATGAACATTCAGTAGTGCCATATAATTATTACTTACATTTGCATCGGGCTTTCACGGGTTTTGATTTAAATTTGAAAACAAATCGAAGCCTTTGGCGTCGGAACAACACCAGTTTACGAAAACAGCAACAAAATTTGATAAACAAAGCTTTCTCTTGAAGTGTACAACCTTTTCGCTTCCGCGAGTGAATCGAGTGAATCAGATGTCGTTTGTGCGGTGTAGCACCGGTGTAGTGTAAGCGGCATTAAACGCGAGTCGTTGTCAGCTTGACATCATTTGTTTTTAAACAAAGGTGCATCCGACATTTATACCCTGAACTATTTCAGTGTAGTTACACCGCAAAAAACGAAAAAGAACATACAAATCTGGATGAACCATTCGTTCGAGTAGTCTCCCGCAGCGTTGCCAGATATACCGATTTAAGAACTAGATACCGATATACATTGATAAATTAAACTATTCCCATTTTGCTTGAAATTTAATCAGTTTGACATTAAACTCAGTTTAATCAACAATCAATACGAAACTAACGATTTTAAATTGGCTCACCACTTTAGTAGCCTATTGGTCCCAAGCAAACGATTAACGTACCCTATTCTAGTTGAAATTCTATTACTACACTATGTTTGTTTTGATTCGCTATGAAAGTTTGACAGATAACATCAGGGGTGTGTGGATTCATGCAGAACATGCAGGGGTGAGTGAAATAGCTTGGGACTGCTTGGGACCGTTGTTCTGGTACTGAGTGAGCCAAAAATAATAATGATTTTCTTCGGGACCCAGTGGTCTTAGAGTTACCTCTATGGTTTAATCCAGTCCCGTGGCAGGCGCGTAGGCAACATATTATACCGTGACAGCGGGTCCAGCACAGTAAAATAAACGATTTGAGCCCGGGACATGCTGCCTACTGTCAAGCGCTGCTGTTGGTATAGGCCTGGTTTAATCATATCGAATGATTAAAAATTAATACTCTTTTTCTAAAAAAAAATAAGCATCTGCTATTAATCCCAGTTTAATCATGGTTGATTAGATTGAAGATTATCTTTTTTGAATAAATTTTAATCATTTTTTATTCTATTTTAATAATTTTTGATTGAATTTTAATCTTTTTTGATTATATATCAGTATCGAAAAGAATAATCTAATCTAATCTAATCTTTAATCTAATCTCACACTAACGCAGCCAATACTTTGAAAGCATCCTGGAAAATGACGGCTTCACGAATCCGTCATTTTTCGTGTTAACAGCCAGGCCAACTGCGCAGCATGTGCCGCAGAGAGGATTTCAAGGAGTCAAGTGATGTCAGAAATGAATATCTGAAACCACTCCACAACCTGAGATCAAGGGAAAGGAAGAAAGCGTGGACCTCCCGTACCAAACGCTTCCAGTTACAATTGAATAATAGTATTTATATGTTTTCGTTGGGAGCATAATTGCTATAAAAATTTAATTTATGCTCCTGGTGTCTTTGGATGAACTTTTGGCATTTGAACCAAAAGCCAGGCTATTTCTGGGTTAACATTTGAAACAAGCGGAACAACCATCCGTAAACGACAGCTCCAAACACAAACCCTTTAACCATCAAAAACACACCTACAAAATATAACACCAGCATCTGATAGAGCAAACTTTCTTTATCAAAAGGCCCCGACAGTCCGCGTGGGCACCATCTAAATTCAAAGAAACCCGCGTCAAAAGCCACTGCACAGAAAAAAAGTTGTTGAATATTACATCCAAACTGCTGCAACCAGGTCAATCCATTGGTTGTGTAATGTAACGTTGTACGATGTACATCGATTTTGCGAACAAAATTACATCCATTGATGTAATATTGTATCTGCTTTTTGCTAGTACATCATTATTTCATACATCAGCTTGAATTAAATTGATCGATATTACATTTTTTTTGCTGTGTGCCCTCAAACGGTCGTTTCGCCCACTTCAAACTCAACCCAGATTTAATGCCAAGGTTATAGCGC